ATTTTGAAAACCTTTTGAAAACCATTTTAAAAATCCCTCCTTGATTTGAGACTGGATTCACACGAATGTTCCTCCAATTCACTCAAACCAAGGCTCTTATACCAACCTGTAACACTCATAAAAATTGCACCGATTTAAAACTTTTTAATTCATTCAAACGCCATTAAGTTATTACAACTTGTTTTCAAAAGAGTTTAAACATCAGAGTATCCCCAGAACAAAATCACAAAATCATGAAACATGAGGAGCGGTACGATCACGCCTTCACCTTGCCACGATCTCCTGAAGTACCTGAAACCAAAACACTACAACTGTAAGCCCGAAAGCTTAGTGAGTTACCCCCAAAATACCAACCACATATCTCCATACTCATATCATATCATAATACATAACAGTCATGCATATCGAGTCTACAGTGTGATTGGTTCGCCCGCACCGGGCCTTCAATCCACCTGGTCCACTCTCTGAGTCTACAGTATGACTGGTCCGCCCGCACCGGGCCTTCAGTCGGCCTGGTCCACTCTCCGAGCCTCGGCACGTCTGGACCGCCCTCTCGGGGCCTTCAGCCTATCCGGACCGCTCGTTGGGCCTTCGGTATATCCGGTCCGCCCTGGGTATGTTGGCCTACAGCACAAAGCAGGACCCACCTCAACCCAACCCCAGTCAAACAACCACGTGCACATAAAACAGTTAACCACATAAAAATCCTCAGTCAAACAAACGAATCTATCAGATAATGCATCATAACAACATCCTAACCAGGATACCGACCTAACCGGTCACTAACATAACATTACCCTACATACCAGGGCACCGACCTTAACCAGGTCACTAACATAACACCATCCTAAAACCAGGATGCATATCTAGCAACTCCAAAAACATATCAAACAAATACCCAGATTCCCATCCGATAAAGGGCCGGCCTTGGTGACGTAGACCCTGTTGATATAGTGAGGATAACTCACCTTGCAACTGCCGAACCGAACCATGAAAGCACTGGCCCGAAGCACTGCTCCAAACTCCATACCTGATGCCACCAATGGATCACAACATAAATATCCAAAATACCATAACACCCCTAACGGTCAAACAGGTCAAAGACCAAGTCCTTGCCAAAGTCAACCTTCCTGATTGACTCTACTCGCCGAGTCAACCCGTCGACTCGTCGAGTTCTTATACTCAGAAAACTCTCATAAAACGACTCAACTCGTCGAGTCGCCCCAAGACTCGTCGAGTCGCCCCAAGACTCGTCGAGTTCAACGATCTCTGAATTCCATCCTTTACAACTCACTGAGTCGCCAACCGACTCACTGATCCGAAGCTTAACCAAAAGAGGTTGGGGTTCTGCGACCTGACTCGTCGAGTCCAAGAACATATGCGTCGAGTCCAAGGCAATCTTCAACAGACTCTCCGAGTTGTTCTTCCACTCGTTGAGTCCAAGCTCATCATCATATGACTCGCCGAGTTCACCCATGCGACTCGCCGAGTCACTACGCGACTTAATGCCTAAAACCCTAGCCCAACTCGCCGAGTCATCTCCCAGACTCGCCGAGTTGATACAGGTATTCCCATACTCGAAAGATACAGAGCTACTCCTTTGCTCTAAACAATAGATCTGGGTCCCTAGAGTGCCTTAGCAACATAAAGTTGCTACCTTTACGTGCTTCATGTCCCATAATTCCAAAAACCAAGCTAGAAAGGAACTTAACTCATGGGGAATGGCTTTTGCATAGCTATTAGAAGGGCTTTCTGTATATTTGATCCAAATAGAACTCAGATCTGGAGTTTCAGCTCCAGATCTAACTCATGCACCAAGATCTCATCATATTATCTCCAAACAAACCCTAAAACTCTATGAAAGATTGATCTAGAAAGGAGAAGGCCAAGGATAACGATTCATTACCTCCAAAACGACCTCCCACTGAAGAATAAGCCGGATCTCCACAAGTCTCCTTGATCCAAGCTCCTTGATCTTCAAGATCTCTTCACAAAATCACTTATCTAAGCTCCAAATTGCTTCCAAGGACTCTCACTCACGCTTTTAGGGTTTCTGGATCTCAAAGGGTAGTAAGGGGCTGAGGGGAGGACATTAAGTCCTTTAAATAGGGTGCAAACCCTAAGATTAGGGTTTCCCTCTTCCAGCACTGACTCGTCGAGTCCAGCCGCCGACTCGGCGAGTCAGGCCACTTATCACATGCTCTTCACACGCTCCGACTCGACGAGTCATAGCTCCAACTCGCCGAGTCCATCCTTCTAATTACACTTTACATCCCTGAACTCTTGCTTCTGAACTTGGGGTGTTACATGGTATGTGGTAGGTTGGGGAACTCACTAAACTTCGTGCTTACGATTTTCAGTTTTGGTTTCAGGTACTTCCGGTAGCGGAGGAAGGAGCTCGGGGTGATCGCATGGCACACACCATTGTTGTTTAGCCTGGGTTGTTTTACTCTGATAAAAAGAATATGTTTTGAGATAATACTCTGATTTGATATAACAGTCTTGTTTATATGTGAATTGGTTGATTATGATGGCTTTCACTAATGATTTAAAAATGAAATTTTCGGACCGTAATTTTTGGGATGTTACAATCTGAGGATCCATAAGTAAGGAGTGACATTTACCCTATTACATTGATTATTTACATTCATAAATATTTCTTTATGTAGATAGCAAATACACCCCTTCATGTTGTTTTTGGTCATAACAGTGTTGAAGTAGTTAAGTTTCACTTGAACATGGCAAGACTTGAAACAGTTGAGTTGGAAGGGAAGAATATTGTGTGTAAACAGTTACGAAAATACAATTAGGTGACATTAAAATCCTCTCTTCTAATAAAGCAGTACTAGAAACGCTACGTGGCATTCCCTTAGTGCCTCCCCCTTCATTTTTTCCGCTCAAAAGTTGTAAGCGAAGTTCCCACTTTGACCTTCTATTCGAAAAAAATACTGTAAATTCGAAAAAAAAAATAATGTAAATCAGCAAAATTAAGAAATTTCAAATTTGAATTTTCAATTATACCATATAAATCTGCAACAAATCTGGAAGAAAACTCCATTTATATCTATCTACGGAATATCAATCCCAATAAATCAGGCAATCAAATATTAATCCCAATAAATCAGGCCAACTCTTCCAAATTTAAAGATTTGTATATATATACACACGTTTACATTCCTGTTGCAATACACAGAGATCAAATATTCATCATTAGGTTAGAAGACTACATTGTTTGCTTTCCGTTTTTCCTATATACAGGGTATACTCATCGAGGTTTTTTTTTTTTTTTTTGTGTTTGCAATATGTTTTTCCTATATCCAGGGTATACTCATCGAGTTTTTTTTCTGGACAACCCAGGTTAGTTACGTATATCCATTCTCTCTTTCTCTTTCTCTATGGTCTATTTTTTATGATTTTTGTCACATTGTTTTTGTTTCAAACAAACAACCATTCCGAATTACACTTATGAACTTTCATTATATGAATCAGTAGCGGGAATAATTTATTGGCTGTCAATTTTGATTTCGAATAAGTTTCAATAAAAACATTATAGGGGCATAATCGTCGTTTTAATTTCTCAGATCTGCTGGGTTTTTTCTGTTTATCAAGCTGAAAGATTGTTACATTTAAATAGGTTGCTGATATAATTAAAAATGAACATCATGTAAATATTGTAGAAAATCATAATTACCACATGGAAAACCTATTCGTTTATATTGCACATATATATTTTACATATGAAGCTTAGTGTTTCATATTTGGTTATCTTTTATGTTTTTTTACTCTATAATTTATTTTAGAGTTCCATTTGTTGTTCATTTTCTGCCCCTTCATATTACCTTTGTATGTGTTTGTATGTAAATACACAGTAAAAAATATTCTACTATCTATTTTCAAAAATTCATATCATTATAAAGTATAATGTTTTTCTTTTTTTTTCTAATTAAAATTTCCCTTACTTGAATGTCTTGCTATTTGTTAGGATTTTTTTCATATTGTTTTTGTTCAAAAACAAACAACTATTCCGAATTACACTTAAATACTTTCATTATATGAATTAGTTGCATGAATAGTTTAATGGCTGTCAATGTTGATTTCGAGTAAGTTTCAATAAAAACATTATAGGGGCATAATTGTCGTTTTAATTACTCACTCCGAACAAAGCCTACACAACATATATTTGAATTGGACCATTTTGCCCTTAATACTTTCTCAATCTGACGGGTGTATTTTGTTTATCAGTCTCTTATACTTACACTTAAATAGGTTACTGATATGATTAAAATCAGCATCATGTAAAAATTGTATAAAATCATAATTACAACATGGAAAACCTATATGGAAAACCTATTTGTTTACAGGGAACAAAATACCATGCACAGGTTCTTTACAACATTTATTATTTACTTTTCTTTTAATTTTAATAATAATATACTAATAGAGTAAATTACAGATTTGGTGCACATAATCACATTCCAATACTCTAATGGAAACAAAAACGTATCAGTGCACATAATCACTTTCCAATACACGATAATAGAATAAACTACAAATTTGGTGCATGTTGATATCATACCAAGATTATCAGAACTGTAAAATAGGAAAGTAAATTTAAAAATTTTAAATTGTTTATTCAATGTTAAAGGAGACAAGATTTTGAATTTTTTGAAAAATGAAATTCAATATTTTTAAAAATTAGATATCATTGATAGTGAAATTACCTCCACATCTGTATATCTTCTATTTTGACTTTGTCTGAGAGTTATAATGAACTCCTATTTCGTCGCCTGATTCACACCGACGAACATGTCTTCTGATTACTCATTCAATTTCCACTTCAAACTCCCACGAACAGGTAAATAATTCACATCCTTCTGTTTGCATGAACTTTAGGTCAACTATTACACCTATAAATCTCCTTAATTTTGTAATCGGTCGACGCATTTCTGCACTAATTCGCTGAAGCCATCTCTTCAATTTCGGTAATTGTTCGTTCTCACATGCGCTTATTTTCATTCTCGATGCCTCTGATTGTGTTGAATTCGACGTTTAGGTTTAGGGATAAGGTTAATTTTCCAATTCCTTTCATTCCTCCTTTATTGCCTTGCAATTCAATTCGATGGAAATGAACAAAACGCATAACCTAAAAAGTAAAAAGCTTGGTCCAGATGTTTATGCGATTGAAAAGAATCCTCTTATCTAATAAATAAAACTAATTTTTATATTTTATGTTCTTTTATTTTTTGTATTATCTTTTACTTACTTATAGTAAAAACACACTTCATTCATTATTTTAATTTATAATTTATTGTGTTATGTTTATAGATGGTTATTACATTGCTATCATATTTAATTTGTCACATATCATTGTCATTTATATTCTTTATTGTGTTTTTTAACTATACGCAAATGTTTATTGCATAGTACAAGCTTATGGGTTTATAAAAAGTTATAATGCCTATAACCATGCACTACAAAATTACAATGATTCAGTCATAGAAAGTAAAATGGTGTATGTAATTAAGAGATCTTACTATAAAAATTATAATGCATATAATCTCAAGAATCATACATCTAAATTAAGGGTTTAATAAGAATAAATATTTTTTTACAACCGATTAACTTGTCTTGTGAGTGTGTCACAACTTTCATGTATTTAATAAGAATAATGCTCCAAAAGTGATGCTACTTTGCATTATACAAACTCATGACTTTTATAAAATAGATGGATTTACATGATTAATTACATACTTACAAATTATAAAGTTATTAAAAAAATATAATATTACAATTCATATGTTTTTCTAAATTAATGATATATTATTTTATTACATAATCAATTTTTTAGTTTTATTTAAAATTAACATTCACGGATTTTAACGTAGTTTTAAAAATAAATAAGAAAACTCCCATTGGTTCGTTGTAGTATACCGCAGTCTGGGAATTCATTGCATGACAGCCCAGCTTCACAACCCAATTCAGAATGAGCCCATTAAATTTGAGGCCAACAATTAAAATTCTTAGCCCAACCTATTTCTTCCTTCCCTGCGTTTTTACTTGCGGCCACCCACACATCTATTTTTTTTGTCTTCGTCTTTTGTGAATCGATCTCAAACACCAAAATCTAACCCTAAAATCCGTATATCTTTCTTCCAAGCCGACATCTCATCGACAATGTCTCGATTCGCCATTCTGGTTCGCAGCGGAGAGCCGGAGACCTAACAATTTCCAATCGCTGATCATTTCCAAATCGATGACTTCTGTTCCTTCGTTCATGCCAATCGTTACACTTAACCCTAACTCGTACCCTTGAGGTATGTTGTCGATGATGACATACAACATCAGCTAGTATGCTTCCATTGTCGAGGGTGTTCGGTTGAAGCTCGCTAAGGTGGTGGTTCTCAAATTTTGTTGAGATGACTTGAGAATGAATGGCTGCGTTCACAGGAGATATTTATTATTTAAGCCACTTGTAAATTACTCGGCTGTTTCGCCAACATTGGGGAGAATTTACCATCAAAACAGTGCCGCCTGTCTCTCTCTCTCTCTCTCTCTCTCTCTCCCCCCGCCGGAACCCCAACTGAACCATGTCCGACTACAGCCGCCCAGACAACGGATCAGTCTGTTGCAGGTGTTGTTTCATCTTCATACTAACTTTAGGTCTCACTTCACTCTTCCTGTGGCTAAGCTTACGCACTTCAAATCCAGTTTGCTCCATCCAAGACGTTTACATTCCCGCCCTCAATAAAACCCGGAATTCAACCTCCTATCAATCCATCTACCTCGATCTGAAGCTCGACAACGAGAACAAAGACAAAGGTATTTACTACGACCCACTCAACATCACCTTACATTATTACATCAACCAATCAAATGGAAATGGAATCCCTATTTCGAATTACGTGCTCAAAGGGTTTTATCAAGGACATCAGAAAAAAGCACGCCGGAAAAACTGGACGGACACGCAAGGAGTGCCGTGGGATGCAGCCGTGAACATCACTGGTGGAAGACCGCCGGTATTCAGGGTGGATTTGGCGACGGCGGTTAGGTTTAAGATATTATTTTGGAAAACAAAGAGACATAAACTCATACTCGGGGCTGATTTTGAAGTTAGTGACAGGGGTCAGAAACTGCAAAAGAAAGGTACACGGTTAAAATCCGGTGCACCACCGGAGTTGTTTTCCGGTAATTCTCGTATAGCTTTCTCATTGGTTGTATTTTGTACATTAGTATTGGTGTTCATTTGAATTGAATGCAAGTCTTTTTGTATTATTATTATTATTTTTATATATCTTGTATAGCTTCTTCATTGGTTGTTTTTTGTATCTGCATTTACGTTTTCAAAGCAATTCTGTTATTAGATTTAGATCTTGCTATACAATTATGCGTAAAATGTAAACATTGTTGTTGACTTAAGATGAAGTTCATTTTAACTTTGTTGTTGATTGTTAGGAATAATGAATAGAGTTTAGTTTCATGTAAGTTCCATTTATAATTTACTTACATGAACAAGCGTACAAATACAAACAAAGATATCAGTATTACTTCTAGCTTGTCTTAATGATCATTCAACCAATTCAACCAAGAGTGCTTCAAAGATTCTATCTTTTTTATTCCGAGGATTTATGTTGAATCTATCCAAAAATATCATTTGTCCAAAACATAAAGTATAATTCTTTAATATCTTCAAAATAAGAATCTAGTATTGGTTATAAATAAATAAAATTTTAAAAAAAAAGTATTCATACATTTCGATAAAGTTTTATGAATCATTTGGAACCTATTATAACCATTAATGATAAATGATAACCTCATAAGAATAATAGAAAGCTAAATTAGCTGTAATTCATGTTAACATTTCAAAAGAAATTGAAGACATTAACAACTTTACACAATTACGAAAAGTAATTGAGAAATTACATATAATTTGTAGTTCTTATGGATGGTCTTAAATCTAGTAACCTGGATCAAAGTGTACAATAAGCATTCACAATGGATTTCAAGCATAAAAGTAGATACAAACATACAAATAACATTGAAACATGCACACATGAACCATTCATAATATAAAGATTGAACATAAAGTAAAATCAATATCAATATATGACTAAAATATGATACTTTTTTAAAATCACTATCAAAATGAAGACCAATTTTGGAACAATTGATAGCAAACACACAGAAGCCTTGTTAAATATTGGATCATACAACATACCTTTATTAAAATTCTCCGCGATTATCTTTGATTTGGCAACAATTGGAGTCTTATTTTGAGTGGATTAGGTATACTCGATTAAGAGCCCTAAGGCTTATTTTGAGCGGATTAGGTAGAAAAATTCATGAAGGAAAGTTAAGCAATACTCGATTAGCTGCCCAGTCACGAGGCACCCAAGGAGGAGAATCAGGGCCACAAGAAGGCCGACTGTCCGAGCTTGACAGCGATGGGTCCATTTGCAGCACCGACTCCGGTGACATTGAGGATTACTTATGGCCGCCAGGGCAATGCGGATGCTCTGGTTGTGAGGAGCAGGACGTTCTGGTTGAAAACTTAGGAGGCACGAGCAGCGCCCAATGTAGTCACAAGTATGTATCTTCTCCTTATACTTTTTATTTATGTTTATGATATACTACTTATGTTTGTTATTGTTTTAGAATTGTACCGTGTGAACGGTATTTCTGCCCTAGTTGTGTTTGATTCGGGGGCTACCCGATCTTTTGTGTCTCTTGTGCTTAGCAAGAAGTTTGCGGATGTTCCAGGGGAACTTAAGTATCCATTTTTGGTGGAGATCATCGACGACTGTCTAATGATATGTAAGTAGGAGTGAACGCTTTGCCACATCATTTGCATATATTATCCAAATATGATCTTAATTTAAAAAACAAGAGACAGCAACTGGCACTACAATATATCATCAATAAAAATGATGTTTATTTAATAAATTTGATCACTTTAGAGGCATTTGGTACAAAAAAAAACAATATATATATATATATATATATATATATATATATATATATATATATATATATATATATATATATATATTCTTAATAAAAGAGTACTTTGGATGCCACGTGTCCCTCTTTTGCACCTCCAACTTGCCACGTGTCTTTACCAGGGAGTTCTTATGCATCAAATTCCCGCCCATTCTTTACACCAAAAAATCGAGAAATCAGCTCACGGATTTTCAATTACCTACAAATAAAAACTCATACTAATCATATATTTATGGTCAATTTATGGTCAAAAAATCGATAAATCAGCTCCTATAAATCAGCTCCTTTAAATCCACATTATCATCTCCTGTAAATCTGGAATCAAATAAACACAAATCGTTGACTACTAATTCGTTTTTTTTTCTGCCAACTATTTGTAGATCATAATCATAAATCTGTACCGATTTCGAAATTTAAATCAATTACCCACTAATCAAATCCATAAAAATCAGGAATAAAATATGTGCTTCATTAGTCTCTGCATATTTATAGATACCTATCGAATTGCACATAAACTTCTACTGCTTTGCCCTCAATTTTTCAGTTTCTTATCTGCTCTGCTCTACCGATTTGCAAAAGGTTAGTAATACAATCTTTTCAATTCTTTTTCTTTTAACATCAAACTCCACATCTATTTCGGTAGTTTCGATCATTCTTTGTTCTCTTTTTTTCGGTAGTTTCAATCATTCACAAGTCATAATATGTTTGATTTTATGTTTACATCAATTAATTGACTTTCATTCTTGCTATGTTTGCAGCAAATGCAGGTACTATTTTAAAAGTTGTTATTTTTCGTTTTTTTTTCCTGCCAATTATTTTCAGATCACAATAGATGATACAGCAATATACTTTCATATTACTAAATATTGCCTATTAGTTATGTAAAAGAGTACTTGATGCAATCTATTATCTTTTTGAGTATTAGTAAAATATTCATACCATTATTAAATGTATTAAGTACCTTTCACTAATAGTCAGACCATCAAGTTGCTAGATTGTGAAGATGCAAACTTTGTTTAGTTTTTGAAATACAACCTATATAAATCAGCACCAAATACATTTAATATTCAATATGTTTAATATTTTTTTATCAACTATAATAGTAAATAATATATTACGTTTTTTACCTTTCAACTAACCATAACAATCACATGTCCATAACCAAATAGTCTCCTTGTGTTGGTACATTTGTACCCTTCATCCATTTTTAAACCATTCTCAGTACCCTTTACTACATTTCCTGCGAAATAATCAATAAAACAAATAAGATTATTTAATATAGTAATGTTGGAATTGGATATTTGGATCACTTGATGCCACAGGAAGGAAGAAATAAATAATTTTTGCTTATATCGGTCTATAATTTATTAAGCATTTAAGTATAGGTGAAGGTAAAGTTAGTGTTGCTGCAATGTGAGGGGTAAACTAGGGAGCAAAGTGATATGGTTAACATTTTAGAATTATAATGATCTAATTGAATCAAAATTATTTAAAATAAAGAATATAGGGTTAAAATTTTTAAATTAAAAAAAAGTGAACAAAAACAAGAAAATAAATAATAAACATTTATTTCAAAATTAAGAAAAATGCAAACTGTGTACATAAATTGTTTGTTATATGTAGAGATGCACTAAAGGGTAAAATCGTTTGTTATATGTAGAGATGCAGTAAAGGGTAAAATCGTCAAATTACAAAACTGTTGGAGGTTCTTCTCCATCTCTTCTATTGTTGTAATTTCTCTTTTCTTATGATTAATATCCGCTAATATATAGGTAAGAACAAATCAATTTTTTGGTGTTTGGGTGTGGTTTTAACTTTAATATTGGACTTATTTTTCAGATTTAACAGAGGTTTATAAGTTTCTGTACTTAAAAATAACACCTGTAGAGATATCACCACTTTAAGTGGTTATTATGTGTGTGATCTAATTGATCACATAGAGATCATATGTATTATACCTAAAATTGAAACCCTAAATATGCAATTATACAAATGTCATATAATTTGGAAGGTATATCAACTACAGTAACTGTTTTATTTACTCATATATTATCCAGTGATTAATTTTGCACCAAATTATGTATAAATTTTAGCAAATTCGAAATTCAAATAATTAAGCAAATACTCAAATTTCAAAATTCGAACCAAAAGCATATCTACCTGATTGTGTTTCCACTCTTAAAGAATTTCAAGGCATTCCCTTGATCAACTTCAATTTTCGCTAATATCTTCAGATAAAACATTTCTGGAGAAATAAAATCAGGTAAGATTTCTTCAACAAAGTGTATTTTCTCTTACCAAAACTAAGATTAACAATCAATTGATCTTCTCTCACCTTCGATCTTGATTTCTTCAACCGCCAAAGCGGCGTTTATTCAGTCTCTGAGTTCGACATCGGCTATTACTGTATGTAAGCTTCTCTTCACTTCAAATTTCTAATCGGTTGTGTAGTAGTATCTTTCTTCATCGATTTAGATGGAGAAACTTTGACACCGTTTCAGAATTTGATCGGTGGTTCTGGAGATATGTATGTAATCGATTCTAGGTCTGCTTTGTTTTACATCGTTTCTTTTACAGACAAATGGGAAAGGGGGAAATATTGGGATGCCGACAAATGTTAGGTGATGTGGGCTTTTTGATAAATAAAAAATGTTGAATATGCTAAAAAATGATTAAAATGTTGTTTTTATTTGTTTCTCATTTTTTCAAATTAAATATTTACATAATTTCCATAATTATATTTCCCCAATTAATATACCCAATGTATGTAAATTAACTGATAACCTATAAATAAAAAATTATAGGTCGTGTCTATTAATTTGCTTATATTTATATATCATTATACAATATTAACTATTTTTATTAATTTATACATAAAAAGGTCTTAATTTATAAATAAAACATCTTAAATATATAATATATATAACTAACTCATTAACCCTTAATCAAATTTTTAATTGAAGTTTATACGCATTACATAAATTACCAATCATCTGTAATGGGTATTTTCAAATTATTAGTTTTTTCTAACGTTACTTTTTTTATTATATATCAAACAAGAACATGGATGTCATATACACTACAGAAAGAAGAAAAAAAAGAAAGTTATACTTGGATAATAAGAAATCCAAGAAAAACTATACCGCGTAATGGTCTCAACGTATACCTATTGCACATGCTATTCCTTTTAACGAATACGGTAATTTTCTTACTTTGTTTTACATATGTAATATCTTTTATTTATTTATTT